ATCAAACATCTTATTGCACTGGGAAATTCTGGTGCAAAAGACCTCTTTAAAATGTTGAAGAGCAAGATATTTCTTTGAAAACTAAAGTGCACCTAAACCAAGTCATGGTGTTTTCAATTGCCTCATATGGATGTGAAAGCTGGACAATGAATAAGAAAGTCTGAAGAAGAGTTAATGCTTTTGAGTTGTGATGTTGGCAAAAAGTACTGAAAGTACCATGGGCTGCCAGAAGAACTAACACATCTGTCCTGGAAGAAGTGCAAGGAATGTTCCTTGAAAGTGAAAATGGCCACTTTGCCTCACCTACTCTGGTCATGTTGTCAGAAGGTTCCATCCCTGGAGAAGGATATTATGCTTGGTAAAGAAGAGGGTCAGCACCAAAGGGGAAGATACTCAACAAGATGGATTGACACAGTGGCTGCAACCATGGGCTCAGGTATAGCAAGGATTGTGAGGCTGGAACAGGACTGGGCAGTGTTTTGTTCTGTTGTGCATAAGGTCACTATGAGTGACCAGAAACAATGCTGCCCAGATCAAAGATTGTGACTAACAGTGTCCCGTTGAATGTCTGGAACTCTTCACAGTCCTGGGAATAATACAATCTCCTGAATCAGCTCCTTGAAAAGGCCCACTACACCAGGTCTGAGTCTCCCATTCCAAGACTAAGTCTCATAATTTTTCCCATTCTAGTTATTCTTCCAGTACAAACATTTTACAAATTTGGGTCTGTTCCAGTTTTGTTGCATCAGCCATGATTGAACTGATTTGATCTGGTTGAAAGCCCTTGGTTGAAGTAACTATCCTTGTTGTTGTGGTTAGGTGCAGTCCAGTTGGGTCTGACTCATAGTGACCCTATTACCACGGAATGAAACACTGCCCAGTTGTAAGCCATCCTCATAATCCTTGTTAAACCCAACCCCATCATTGCAGCTACTGTGTCATTCCATCTTTTTGAGGGCCTTCCCCTTTTTTGTTGACCCTCCACTTTACCAAGCATGATATCCTTCTCCAGGGAATAGTCCTTTCTGACAACATGACTAAAGTAGATCAGATGAAGTCTGGCCATTCTCACTTCCAAGGAGCATTCTGGCTGCACTTCTTCCAGGACAGGTTTGTTGGTTCTTCTGGCAGTCCATGGTACTTTCAGTATTCTTTACCAACACCACAACTGAAAAGCATCAGCTCTTCTTTGGTTTTCCTTATTCACTGTTCAGCTTTCATATGCATATGAAACTATTGAAAACACCATAGCTTGGGTTAGGCACACCTAAGTCTTCAAAGAAATATCTTTGCTCTTCAGCACTTTCAAGAGGTCTTTTGCAGCAGATTTGTCCTGTGCAATACGTCATCTAATTTCTTGACTGCTATTTCTATTGGTGTTGATTGTGGACCCAAGTAATATGAAATCTTTGACAACTTGAATATTTTCTCTATTTATCGTGGTGCTGCTTTTTGGTCCAGTTGTGAGGATTTTCATTTTTTTTTTTTTTTAAGTTGAGGCATATTCCATATTGCAGACTGTAGTCTTTAGTTATCATCAGTAAGTGCTGCACGCCATCCTCATTTTCAACAAGCAAAGTTGCATTGTCTGCATATCGCAAGTTGTTAATGAGTCTTCCTCAAATCCTGATGCCACGTTCTTCTTCATATAGTTGGCTTCCCTGGTTATTTGCTCAGCATATAGATTGAATAAGTATGGTAAAAGGATACTACCCTGAAAGACTCCCTTACTGATTTTAAACCATGCAACATCTCCTATGTTCTGTTAGAATGATTGCCTCCTGGTCTATATACAGGTTCCTCATGAGCACAATTAAATGTTCTGGAATTTCCATTCTTCTCAATGTTATCCACATTTTGTTATGACCTCTTACTTTTGTTTTATTGGCTTAATTATGACTTTTAGAATCTTTCACATCCTAGAAGATAATATTGAGTAGTGATTGTGAATAATCACTTAGACTTATTTCATAGTATGGGAGAGGTATAGACAGAGTGAGTGATGATGATGATGTTTAGTAGAGATTCCGGAACAAGAGAGAGGAATTAGGGAAACCCAAAGGCTCTATACAGGGTAGGTTGAGAGAGAAGGAGGTTGACAGTCTAGAAGAGAGATTTTTGAAAGTAAAATACGACATTAAATATGATGTATTTTATCATGTAATAGATCCTTTTATATTTCCTGGAAGCACTTTAATAACTATTTTTTTAAAATATAGATATTTTTGTTAGAGGTAATAGGTATTGATTTAAATGTAGAACAGGACACAGCTAATCAATCAGTTACATTCTGTAAACTTAAGGTTGGACTTGTCAGTAAAAAATATGAAATGCATGCCTTAATAGTGGATAGGATGTGTCTTTATTTTTATGATTGTTCTACTCAATGTCAAAGGATCACTTAGGAAATCTGTCCTAATAAACAAGGCCAGACTGATAGATTACAAATAAGCTTTTAGTGGTGTTATGTGTTATTATGGCCAGGGTCACAGGAATTCCCTCATCCTGCCTTGATTCAGCTTTTCCCTAGAAAAGTGGTCCTCACTGTGCTAAAGGAAGCTGATGGCTGGAGCAAGAGCTATCTATCCTGCTATTGGGGGATGTCAATAAATGTTGGAAGAGGAAGGGAAGATATATGTATAAGAGACAATGATAAATTGGAAATCAAAATCCCAACTTATTCTTATTGGTTAAATTTTTGTCTGAGACTGAAGCACAGAATTCTTTGTAAGATCAACTGGAAGACATGGCTTAGTTCAAAACTTTATGGCACTTCATTACCTTCTTAAAGCCAACCCCAAATCTAAAGATATCATTATTTTCCAGAACATCCAAAGATATGTGTGTGTGTGTGTGTGTGTGTGTGTGTGAAGAGGAATAGGGAGAGCAAAATGTTCAGTCCTAACCCATGAAGGTAAGACCAAGGTCAACTTCATGTTTTAATCAAATGGATTAACAAAGAAGAAGCAAAATGACGGAAGGAGTCTTTTGGACATGCACAACCTTTTCACACACAGTAATCCAGGAATCTTAGTTACTTGTTAGTGCTCTAGTATTTTACCTCAACATAATAGCATGCATATGCTTTGGAAATGAACAAAGTAAAAGGTGAGGAGTTCTGCTAGCATAGTGCCAAAGGCACTTGACTGCTAACTAGAAGGCTGGTGGTTCAAACCCACCAACTACTCCTCGGAAGGAAGATGGGGCAATCTACTTCCATAGTGATACTGCCTCGGAAACCCAAGGAGGGGTCACTATGAGCCAGGTTGGACTCGACGGCACATAACAACAAACAACAACAAAAGGTGAGAACTTGTTTTCCTTCCCCAATGCACATATTATACTAGGAGAGGGATTGAACCAGACAGTACGATGTGAAGTTCATTTATTTTATGTTTAAGTGTATATCTTTTCCAAAGATGCCACATTGTTTAATCTTACATTATTAATTATGAATGCTGATGTATTCTACTCTCTATTAATTAAAAGTCATAGTCTTTGCAAGGGATCATGTGAGAAATGTTGAAAGAGCATTAGTAAAGGAAGAAGATGATGTGGGTTTGGTATCAGTGCTTTACTGAAGAGTAGACCAGCCATTTTAGTTCTCTGAGCATCAGTTTTCTCTTCTATAAAATGAAACCTAGAGCTGCTCCAAAAAACAAATAAAACAGCATTTGTAAACGGTAGCACACAATGAAAGTGTAAACAATTAACCTATTAAACTGATTCACATTAAAGCTTATGAATTAATTTTCTTTTCATCAGACAACTTGACATGCTAGAAACCTGAACTGAATGATAGAGACAAGGAAAAGAGAGACTGATGTCCACAAAAATAAATGTTCTATAGTCTCTGTGATCTTCAGGCCCTGCCTTCAGCCAGTCTCAAGTTTCCAAGAATTGGAAGAAATGCAGTTGACTTACATTGATTCAGATCACATACTTGGCAGACAACTGTAGACCTCACTCTGAAACAAGGCCTATGAAAGAAATATCCCACTTTCTTCCCTTTTGCTCTAACCCATGGAAGATATTTGTCCTCTTTCCTATACAGTTTGATGGAAGAAGGGGAAAACATTCAGAACAAAATGATTCTGTCTGAAGACTTTTATTGACAAGTGGATTTTGAAACAAAGTCTAATGTGAGGAGACAGCTCTTTATGAAGATCCTCGTTTTCTCTTACTCTTACATAAAGGAGAGAAAACTGAACTGTGTAACTTGAGTTCTGTCCTAAAATGCATGTGCAGGATCCTGAATTGCAGGGAGAACAAAGCCTGTTATCTCTTTTACACAGAGTTTTCCATTTGTTGCATGTTTAATGAAATAGGTTTAAGTTTAGCCTGTTTTTGCTGGCCACTCTGTATGGGTTTAGGTCTTCTTTTTAACTTATGTCCCAGTAAAAAAAGATGCTCAAGGGATATTGAACCATTTTAAATTTGTGCCAGTGCATACAAAAAAGAAAAAAAAAAAAGTGGAAAAAAAATCTCCCAATATTACATTGGAAGCACATTAATAAATAATTTATATATTTTCATACATGGCCATGAATTGGATATCTCTTATGCATCAAATACTTTGATAGGCACTTTAAAATTATTAAAAATTTGTGTCCTGAGTATTACAAGTCTGAAATTAAGGAAAAGAACAAGGAAAAACAGAATCTAGAGACAAGAGCTGCCTGGGACCCTAGATCTGAGAATCAGGGTTGTGCACAAATTTGCAGGGCTGATATCTAGTGTGAGTGAGATTGGATAATGGTATTTACCAGAACCTAGAATTCTGAACATCTGAATAGTTTCCTGTAATAGCCATACATTTGTTTCCCTTTAACTGAATATAACTTCAATAGGCTGTATTTTACATGAATATGCCAAGAAGCTGTTAGAAAAGTCTTCTTTTTAACTTATGTCCCAGTAAAGAAAGATCCTGTCTATGATCTATGTTCTTGTACACTGTTCTCAGTTGCCTGATTATTTCTGGTCAGGGAACTTGATCAGGATTAATGCTGTGACAGGCAAATTGTTCTTCCCACAACCCTATGAAGTGCCAATTTGAAATCTTTATTTCTCAAGCTGTAAATCATTGGGTTAAATAATGGAGTTAGGATAGTGTAGGACACTGATATCAGAGCATCCTGACTTAAGGAGAAGTTAGATTTTGGTCTTAAATAGACAAAGGAGGCACAGCCATAGTGAACAGTGACAACAATCAGGTGAGAAGCACAGGTGGAGAAGGCTTTGTACCTGCCCAGTGTAGAGGGAAACTGGACTATGGCAGTGATGATGTGAATATAGGATACCAAGATTAATGACAGGGGAATAACCAGTACCAAAGTGCAGAGTATGAAGATGACAATATGACTAAATTGGGTATGGTAGGATGCCACCTTGAGCACAGGGGAGATATCACAGAAGAAGTGATACAGCTGGTTGGAGGAGTGAAAAGGTAAGTGAAATACCAGGGAGGTGATAATTTGGGCAACAGTGAACCCACAGGCACAGGCAGCAACCACTAGTCCAACACACACCCAATTTCCCATGAGCACTGTGTAGCGCAGTGGGTTACAAATGGCCACGTAGCGATCATAACCCATGACTGCCAGCAGGAAGGAGTGAGAACAGCCAAGGAAAAGGAAAGTAAACATCTGGATGGCACATCCCAGGAAGGAGATGGTCTTTTTTTGGGCCAGGAGGTCAACCAGCATCTTGGGTACAATGACGAAAGTGTAGCAGGTTTCAGAGCAGGAGAGAACAGCGAGGAAGAAGTACATGGGAGTATGGAGGGCCCTGTCCAGCACAATGGTGGAGGTGATGATGGCATTGGTGCTCAGTGTAAAGAGATAGACGAGCAGGAAGATAACAAAGAGCAGCTGCTGCAGCCCGACCAGTGACGAGAAGCCCAGGAAGACAAACTCTCTCACCACAGTTTCATTGACCCACTCCATTGAGAGGACATTATTAGGGTACAATCTAAGAGAAAGGAGGATAAAATGTTAAGAGAAATTACTGAAGATCAGTAGAACCACAAGAAATTGATTGTCATTTGTTTTCAGATTTGAGTTCTGAATTAATCATCCTTACTCCTTCCTGTTTCTCCAAAACATGAAACAGTATCTAAAATTAGGCAAAGCAGTCATCTAAGTTGGAACATTCAAACTGTAACATCATAGCCAAAAAGAAGGTCTTAGTATTTACCAGATTCAACCATCCATTCATCTTCACTTCCATGATGAGGCTGATATTCAGATTCTTAGCTCTCACCCTACGACTCTATTTGTTCTTCATTTGGCTTTATTGTCTTCACTCTCCAAAGAAATCTTTCCTGCATTTGCCAAATAAACTATGTGAATAAACCACAAGTATATATAACTCACTTAATCTTCAATGGTTATTCATTCTCATTCTCATTATACCTAAACTCTTTCTCTTAGTTTTTGTTGTAATACCTGGAAACAACCAATAGCTTCACCTTCTTACCTCTTCTTTATACTGCCTGTTGCCTTTGATTTTTAATTCTAGTCTCAAAAGCTGTAATATATTCTTCCCTTTCACTTTCCATTCATCTGTTCCAAGACGGGATCTCTCTATATCTTCTCCAATGTTTATTTCAGAGTCCTCCTTCCTGCAGAGGTAGCTATAGTCTTATATCAAGACTCTTCTTTCTTTTCATCATTATTTTGAACCGCTACTGAAATAACAGTATCAATATCATTTTTGTCACCACCTTCACATATCTTCAATCCATCTTTTCTTCTGATTCAAGACCAGTCTTCTGAAATATCAGTTGGGTCACATTGAGCCTCTCCTCAAAGACTTTACTGTGGCTACAACATAAAGTTAAAATTCTTTAGCATTATCCAGTTCCTTTCATTTTGGGACCTAAATTATTTCTAGGATAATCTAAAAACCTCTTTGGGATGCATTACTCTTGTGCAAATACGTTATGTCCTCCCTTGCCACTATTCCTTGTTTATCATATTTTATCTTCCATTTTTATTTATAAATATTTCAATGTAATTCTGAAGCCTCAGTAAAATCTAACTTTTTTGGAAGCATCTTTGGTACCTCCTGATGCAACCAATTTTTTTCTTCCTCAGAACTCACATAAGATATCGATTGCCAATTTGATGTAATACTTAATTCATTTTGAAATTTCCTATATTGAATTTTCCTCATATCTCTTTTCTCCACTAGATTTTGTACCCTTGCGGTAATGATGTGCATTTTACATATCTTCAGCTGAATTCTCCTCAGCGTCTAGAGCCATATTAACTATTGCTTCTTAATAAAAATGCTTTAATATAAAATTAAAAAGCTAACTTGGAGTATTATATATATATATTATTAATGGCACCACAATAAGAGAATCCTTGGTTTCATCTAATCATAGACAGGAGAACTGCTTCGTACCAAGGATACTGAAGGATTTCTGTACTGGATAGAACTAAATTTTACCTATTTAAACCTCAAAGATACATCTCAGCTAAAAATAAGAAAATGGCAGTGGAAAGAGAATCTGGTCATTAGAATTCTATGTACCAAGGATTATTCTCAGTCTCTAATATTTTACTTCTTTCTAGAGCATATTGAAATATCAGTGAGTAAGAGGAAAATCACAATGATAACATTGCATTTATCCCATTGTAGGAGTATATCCATTAAATTTATCATAACTAATATTAATATTGTTGTTGTTGTTATATGCCGTCGAGTCGGCCCCGACTCATAGCAACCCCTCCTTGGGTTTCTGAGGCAGTATCACCACGGAAGTAGGATTGCCCAACCTTCCTTCCAAGGAGTGGCTGGTGGGTTTGAACCGCCAGCCGTCTGGTTAGCAGGCAAGTGTCTTAGCCACTATGCTACCAGAGCTCCTACTAATATTAATAATAAAACTCAAAATAACAAGTACTAATCACTATGAAAGGAGCTCTGGTAGCATAGTGCCTAAGGCACTTGACTGCTAACCAGAAGGCTGGTGGTTCAAACCCACCAGCCACTCATCGGAAGGAAGGTTGGGCAATCCTACTTCCGTAGTGATACTGCCTTGGAAACCCAAGGAGGGGTCCCTATGAGTCGGGCCAACTCGACAGCAAATAACAACAACAAAAACCAATCACTATGAAAACCTGATGTCTGGCATTGGAGTATTTTTCAAGGATGTGCATATAAATAAGACTCAATTCAAGTCCCTCAAGCTTCTTACAGTCCAAAGATGACACATTTTCAGAGAAAGAGATTACTATGAAATGATATGGCAACTGAAATGATAACTGTGCACTTGGAATTATAAGAGCTCTGAGAATATGTATCTTTTGTACATCCTTAGAAAAGTGTATATTTTTGCACTTATTCTCCAAGTTCTTTGCCCAGTGCTTAACATAAGATTTTTTTTTTTTTCTTTTTCTTATCACCTGGAAGGTTGGTAAAATTATTGTTAATGTATGATTAGCTTTGTAAATGTGGAATCTCCAGTTCTCAGAACGAGTGAAGAATTTCTCCATATATCATCTGAATTTCTACCCTCATAAGCATACGTAAAGTAGAGTGATATACAAGTAAAATGAGTTTTGAACTTAGGCAGATGTGGGCTTAATCCTGACTCTAGCATATTCTGGTGGTAAAACTTCACATTCTCTGAAGCCCATCGCCTCATTTTTATGGGAGAAGAATCTCCATGGGGGATTATGCAAATTAATTGAAGGAATGTGTATGAAAGAGGTTGGTTTAATAAATTGTAAGTACTCAATAATTAAGGAATGTGGTGACACAGTGGTTAAGCACTTGGCTGCCAACAGAAAGGTCAGTGGTTCAACCACCAGGTGCTCCATGGAAGAAAGACAAGGCAGTCTGCTTCTGTAAAGATTCTATCCTTAGGAACCTTATGGGGAAGTTCTACCCTGCCCTATAAGGTCACTTTGAGTTGGAATTTATTGGATTGCAGTGGGTTTTATTTATTATTATTATTACTCAATAAATACTTCCCTTACTATATTGTTGCTATGGGGATTGGGATCAGAAATATTTTCATTGGTATTATAATGATCATTACAGTCACACAAGTTGTTGAAACTGCCTTGTCCATGCTTTCCCAGGGTGGGAAAATTTAAGAGAGATCACTATTCTCTTGAGGCTTGTCAAGCCTGAGTGAAAGTAACTTGTGTTTCATGGAGTCCTGTGCTGTATTCAGAGGGAAGCAAGGGTTAGCTTTGGTACCTAGTTGTTCTTTAGTCAGAGTTGCATGTGCAGGTTACTTATACCTGGTAGAAAGTAATGGAAGTTTCCAAAATTTTCTGTTTTTTCAGGATTGGGGATAAACTTAGAAGTTTAGTCACATACATATATAAACTCAGGTGTTTCTCATTATAGATTTGTAATTATTGATGATGCACATTATATGAAGTATTTTATGGACATATTTAGGCATCAACTTTACTTACTTTGAGCTCCTGAAAACTGGAACAAATTATATTTAAGCTCTCTAAATATTCTCATTATTTATTACATTCTAGGCACTACAGATATAACAAAAAAAAAAAAAAAAAACCCAACAACCTCACTGCCTTTGAGTCAGATCCAACTCATAGCTACCCCTTCTTGGGTTTCTGAGGCAGTATCACTACGGAAGTAGATTGCCCAACCATCCTTCTGAGGAAGTATGAATAAAATCATTATTCCTTTCTCAATGCAGAGAAAAACAATGAAAGAACTTGCCATATTATGACAGGCTATTATAAACATCATAAGAACAAACAAAATGTACTGAAATTTTGAGGAAGAAAAAATAATTTCAGGAAAGGTTTTGAAAAACAAATAACTTTTGAACATCACTTTTAAGCATTTGGAAAAATACAGGCTGAGTCTGCATGGCATCACTTATTTCAGCATTTTGATTGATCTGATTAATCTTTTCTATAATGTTTATTGCTGTCCAGAATAAGAACAAGTACCCTGTTGTTTTGCTCTATGGAAACATGGAAGTATCCCTACCCACCATGGAAAAACATAAGTTTACACAGACCTATGAATCGAAAAAAGAGAGGAAAAATAATTCATTTTCTCCATTATCCGTTCCTCTGTTTCCTTCCTATAAGCTTCATGTTGAGGCTACAAACTGGAAAAAAAAAAAAAAAAAAACTCAATTAAGTTCTTAGGGGAGTATTTTCTCAGTCTATCAATATCAATTTTAATATCACCTGTTGAGAAAAAGAAAGCAGAACTCTGCCATCCTCCCTCATTATGAATGTAGTTAAGTGAAAAATCTCATATCAAAATTTTGTTATGGATTTAAGGACATCTCCACCATTTGTTAGCTATTGAACTTTGACATATAACTATCTGAATCAACTTCCTCATCCTTATGTTTATTCTGATACCAGCTAAACTTACTCTAAAGATTTCATCAGAAATGATGAGACAGTGTTTTTGCAATGGCTTAAGTGTTATGCAATTATTAGATCTGTAATTAATGGTTAGAACTAGAAAGGGGCAAAGGAGGGCTGGCAATTTTGAGGAGTTCACGATGTCTTTTGAATTTTAATCAGTTTCAGGAAGGATATGATAGGATAAAGGTTTCCTTTCTCAGGAATGAGAAAGGCATTTTACATTAGTCCTTGTCTTTAAGGAGGGAGATCTCCAGAAAGCCTGAGTCATAAATGTGATAGCTTTGAGGGATCTTTAAGATCTAGCCTATAGTCATGTTTGAAAGATGGAGAAATTGAGTTTCATAAAGTGCTATGAAGAGCTCTGGTAACATAGTGTCTAAGGCATTTGACTGCTAACCAGAAGGCTGGCAGTTCAAACCCACTAGCTATTTCTCAGAAGGAAGACTGGGCAATCTACTTCTGTAGAGATCCTGCCTTAGAAACCCAAGGAGGCTTTGCTATGAGTTGGAACTGACTCAATGGCAGTGAGTTTGTTTTGGGTTGTTTTGAAAGTGCTATGATGA